CCCCAAAACCCCAAAACCCCAAAACCCCTTTACACCTGATATTGATTGAAAAATCTTAACTCGGATCATAAGGCTAGTTTTCATGGGCTATTATGACGAAATTAAGACATCCTCAGATTTTAGAACAGCTGTGATGGCATCTCTAGCCATACTATGGTAGAAGTCTTCATATTTAGCATATATTTCTCTAGCCTTTGAGGGATTTATGGCATTGATAGCAGCATAGACTGGCACGACAAACTTCATTCTTCCGATAGATCCTAGGAATTCGTCAGCAAGAGTGAATGGAGCTTGCAACTGACCTGATCTGATAGAAACCTGAAGCCATCTGTAGATTATCTCTCCATTTATTTCAGAAGAAACGCTAAGAACATCGTCTATGTACTGGGTCTTTTGCTGATTAAGACTCTCCAAGTTATCAATAAGGTGACTGATAAAAAGCCCTTTTAGATTTACCGAGAAGCTCTTGTAAAGAGCTGCAGCTTTTTCAGCATCTGGAGTGGTATCTATAAAGTTTTGGGCTAGCTCAATAGCTTCATTATATTCTTTTGTTTCAAAATCTGCAGCAACAGGAGGTAATCCGGTTCCGTGAACCCATGTGTTGAAATCAATAGTATCCAATATTCTTCGGGCATCATCAGAACCAAATCTTTGTTCTAAATAAGAAGAAAAGTAGCTTTCAAAATCATCCACTCCGATACTAGTTTTTTGGAACTCTCTAAGATAGGCTCTCAGCATATCCAACATTGTCTCTTCTCCAATTACACTTTCGATGAAAGTTAAAAACTGGAATCCTTTTTCGTATGGGATGTCACTGAAACATTCGTCAGGATGGATTCCGTCATAACTTGGAGATAAGCTTGTCATATCATTGTCTAATCCAAAGTCTAGCATGTCAAAGTACATGGTCTGGTTCTCTAGTTTAGCAGTAACTTTGTAGAAATCTTCTCCGAATATCTTTTTGACCACCTTCCTTTCCAAAAATACAGTAAAACCTTCATTTAGCCAGAAGTTAGTCCAATTGTTATTTGTGACCAAGTTTCCGAACCATGAGTGAGCTAATTCATGTATAGCCACATCTACTGAGGATCTATCTCCAGGAACGATAGCAGGGGATGCGAATGTGAGAAGGGGGTTCTCCATACCTCCCAGTGGGAATGATGGTGGGAGTATCAGTAGCTTGTACTCTCCCCATTCATAAGGAATAGTCAGGTTTTCAGCCACATCTAGGAATTGCTCCAGTTGCACAAACTCGTTGGCTACTTTGTCTAGATCTTCAGGTTCTGAGATTACGGTGGTCCTATCGCCTATTTTGCGTTCAGCAAGGTTTCCAGAAGCAATGGCCAGCAGGTAAGATTGTATTGGAATATCTATCTGGTGGCGAGTAAATCTAAGTTCAACTCCACTTGAGTTTTGCAGTTGGTTGTGCGTCATATTGCCAGTCACTCGAGTCTGAATGGCAGGCTCTGTGAGAGTCTCTACAACGAAGGTTGACTTTACACTAGGAGTGTCCTGCAGGGGAGCCATCGACCTGGCATGGATAGTCTGGCACTGTGTAAATAAATAAGGCAAAGTTTTGCCAGAAGTCTGCTGAGGTGCAAGCCAACTTAAAGCTGAAGCATTAGTAGCAGTTTCATACTGAACATAAATTGCAAAGTCCTTGCTAGATGCCTGCTCCCTAGATAGAGAAATAGCAAGGCGCTGACCAAGCATTGGATTCGGATTGTCAATTGCATAATTGAGGGGCTCTCCATGATCACCATAAACCTCATAAACTTTAAGATCTCTGATGTCAAGATAGACCTGATCTACTCTGGGAGCTAGTTTGGTCATCTGAAGTTGTTGTAGACCTCTGAGCACTCTGTGATCAAAGTCAATCTCCAACTTAAGTTCAAAATGTGTTGTGATCACCTCGTCTACATTAGCAAAAGAGTCTCTATCAATATTTTGCGAGCCTTCCCAAGATTCATAATTTCGACTTGTGACAAATGTCACAATTGATAAAACCAGAATTATCAAATTAAAATTTAATAATTTGGAATTAATATAATTTCTCATAGTTAATATATACATTCAAACATCAGAATTTTTATAGAAAAATTCAAGATCCCCATGCATATAAACCCTTTTAAGCCTAAAAAAATTCCAAATTCCAAAAATTCGCACTATTCATCTTAAAAATTGCCTTAAAAATCGATCCCTAATTCGCCAACCCTCTCATCGCATACTTTAAGCTCTTTCTCTGATCTGCTTTCATACTCAAAACCCTATTGTCTTCTCAATAAAATTTTAAAGATTTGGGGTTTTGGGGTTTTGGGGTTTTGGGGTTTTGGGGTTTTGGGGTTTTGGGGTTTTGGGG